TCAACGAGTAGAAAAAAACTGTGCCAGTATTAGCGATGGTATAAAAGATGGACCTAGCTGCCATGGCATCACCCGTTGGTTTCTCGAGTCCTGTTTAAAGTCTCAATATGAGTATTGTCATTGTCGTCATTGGCTGCAAAACTCTGTCTTGATTTTAAAACATAGGACCAAGATTAACACAGTAGACTTAATATTTTTTCAGTATCACCCAAAACGAGTGACTGAGCCCATAAACTAAGCAAGAAAGTGTTTATCAGTGGTCAAGACAAAAAGTGGTTTTCCCTTAGACTTCTATTGAGGTTTTACAGACATGTGACCACTAACCATGCGACATTAACTTCTCAGCTATTTTGGGGCGTTTGCCAATCATGGTGATTATCTAGGATCATGTGAATAAGGCCCCAGTCACATTGGCTTAGAGACCAGTTCATGGCCATCTTGCAACCATCAGGTATGAAGGAAAAATAAGTTTTCCCTTTGCTAAGTATACATAGTATACCATCCATGTACTCTGTAGTGTATTGCATGTATTCGATTTGAACACACTGTTGCACAAGTAAAAGTACATGCTAACATGTTATTTATTTTTTTAACCTCCTCTGATTTGGCACTGCATCAACAATCATGTCAGAAACAGAGTTTCACTCTCAGCCCTCGGGATTCTGTAACGCTAGAGGTGAAAATGAGTAGGAAGGGGGGTGATGGATCTATTCCTTTTTAAGTTGTCATTAAGACACCAAGCACCACTTTTTCAGTGTGGGAACTATTGTTAACTAAATATAGCAGAATTTAACTGGATTCAAAGCATCAGGAGACTCAGATAAATCCTAGAAATACTTTTTGTCATTCACTTGCCTGATTGTTGACATCAGAACTCCCTGCAAAGGTAAACTTGTGCAGGTTCTATCTGCCACAGTAGCTACAGTATTTAGAAAGTCTTGCTATGAAGGGCATCTCTGAAGATATTTCTCTCCCACAGTTTGATGGTTTTGCAACTGATGTTGCAGCGGCTTTAATGTGCTGATAGGGAGGAACAGTCCCACTCCTGAAAAAAGCAACACTAACCTGACCATCATTCACTACGTCATTCACAGTTAGAACCTGTGATGCATGATGGCATAAAGCACATTATAAAACCAAATCATGTTCACATATTAATTCTCAAACTCTGAAAGTCTCCTGCTGATCTCAGCAAATGTAACAGACTTGTTTTTTCCCTATATGGAGATTTGCACATATGGCTAAAAGAGCAGACTGATTTTTTTTTTCTTTTTTAATTGATGACATTTTGTGCTTTTGAAATCTGACATTATTTCATACTAAATATTGAAATTAAATGACACAGCTGGCCAAATAGCACTAAGTGGCAATGGGATTTAGTACTGGCAGGTTGAGACTGAGAATCTAGCAGATGCATAACTTTCATTAATATAACTGGACACTCTACAATACTCTTATTGAGGGGGTGGTTATGTTTTGAGTTCAAAATTAGTCTATAAATGTTACATTGACAGCAGTAGTAAATACTCTAACATACTTGAGAGTATTGAAGGCCACTCTTTTCCTTCATTTTCATGAAAGAAGAAAAAAAAAGTTGGTAAATGATTAAAAATTGAAATTACTCACTAAAATTCTGAGAAAGTATCTTTTAGAAATCTGGTAGTGATTGAAAAGAGTATTTAAACCACAAAGACCTTCCATAAAAGAAACACAACTTGTTGTTCAGTATTTTTATGCTTGTTTCTTTAAATCTGGTCTTAGAAGCCATGACATTGACCATGAACGGCTCCCATTGAGCTCTGCAGCCATTGAAGTCTGTTTGCGATTCAACAGTGGTCAGCACGCAGACACAGTGGACTGCTGCAAGAAAACACATCCTACAAAAAAATTCATTTCACTTGTCACAAGGAAAGAATAGCAAATAAGGAGATTAGTGAGAAGGTGTGTTTTTTTTTTGTTGTTGTTTTTGTTTTAATGAACTCGCATTAAATTATACCTGAGGTTTAAAGAAAATGACCTTCAAAAAATTATTATAAAATCAATTTTCAATGCAGTTTGTTTCAAGCTACTAATTATTATCATATTGGCAAGAACTGTTAATAATATTACAACCAAAGCTTTAAGCCACAAAACAGATGCAGTGAAGAGACACTCCACTAACCAAATGAGACTGGATTTGAATGACATAAGTGCTCGATTTAGATACATGCTGTTAGGTGTTGCAATGGTCACCCTGGGTACTGTTACTGTGTCCATATATTCAGCCAGTCGAATTCCCATTCACTGTCCGGGGAGCTGTTCCAGAGCTAGTCTCTTTAACAACATCAACAAGGCACTTTTGGCAGTCGGTTCGGAAGAGATATGTTCGTTTCCACAAATCAAGCCCGAGCCATCCGCAATTCTAGGAATAACGTCCAGACTGATGGTTTTTTTCTTTTCTTTTCTTTTTTTTTTTTTTAGCACAAGCCTTTCATGGTAACAAAACATTTCTTCATTTGACAAGTCATGCAGTTTATTATCTCCGTCCAATCCGATTTTGTCTCATGCTTTTTTTAATCTGATAAGCATCTCGAGGTGTCTCCTGACGTTCTGCAGCAGAGCTCTTCTTAACTGCAGATATGCAGGATAATTAGCGAGTTGCAGATATAGAGATTATTTCCTGTCGAGTAGACCTTTCATTATTAGAAGTGATACTCCATAAAGGCTGTCTTTGGTGATAGGAAGCACTGTTTTGATGAAAATTGCTCAGCTGAGGTCATACACTATAAGCCCCGGCAGGCCTTTGCGAATGCCTGACGGATTCTGCTTAATGTTTGTACATATTAGAATTGCTAATCAGATGCTAATGCTAGTGAGTGGCAGAGTTGCGAGGCAAGGCAGCTACAGAATGGTAATCAGCATGAAGTTGGCCTACAACAAAAAGGCTGATTATTTAGGCCCCACTCGTTTTCTTTTTCCCCCCGTTCCAACCACAAATCTAGATTCGTACATTTGTTTGTGCATTTCCTTTTGAAGTGCTGCTTGACGTCAGTACTGTGTGATTAAAAAGATTTCAGTAATTTTTTCACGTTGGCTTGTTTTCTTACAACGGTTAACAGAACATTGGCTTTGTAATTAGCTTGAAATGTAGATTTTACCACCAATCTAGCGCCACCCGCTTTCCATCTGTTCACAATTAATCAAGTGAAACTGTTCAATAAGCTTACTATAGTCACAGGCGCTCACTTAGATCTCAGTGGCAAGGAATAACTCTTGGCTTGTGTGCTCATTAAAGTAACCTGTTAACATGCTTTGTGGTTGTATTATGTTAGCTTGCTCAGGTCAGGCTGCCTGCTGTGTGGCTGCAGTGGGCGACAGATGGCATTATGGCCCTCGGTGGGGCAGTAAGCGGATGCCCATGGTTAGGGTTAACTGCAAAGACAGATGTAGGTTTTTGTTGCTTGAGGTGACTGCGCATCAGTGTGGAGTTTGATCACGTTGATGTTTACAGAACTGCTGTTGCTGCTTTCTGTCCAATGAATGGGCTGCTGAAATGTCAGCGTCAGTCTGTTGTATTGTACTTCAGTCTCTCTTGTCTGCCATGTCGCATTGGCTCGGACTGGTGTGACAGGCCATTGATTGAGTTATAATTCATCATATTGTCACGGTGGATGTGGTTTGAATAGATCTAGTTCAAAAAATAGTTTTTGCGTCAGTTTTCTTTCATCTTTGTAAATTTGTCTTCATGTTCATGAATCTTACCACAGTTTAATCGGTGTAATAGTAGAGCCTGACTGATATAGGATTTTAATACTGATAGTGACATAGATCCTTTTTTCCCTTTGTAGTGTTTTACAAATCTGCCTAACAAGTGCTATCAGAGTTTTGAACAGCTGACCTATTTTAACAGTAATAATAATTTTAGCACATCTGGTCATCTCACATATCAAACCAGCATATTAAGCTCAGCCCTTTTGCACATAAATCTATTTAATACTTCAGTTTTATTTTTGCCTCCATTTATTTATTCACGCTATTTGTATTTTATCTGTTTGTACATATTAACCGGCATCTGTGTGGACAGCAGAGAAATGCTTTTTTCCTTTGCACACATGACAATAAACTCTTTGACTCTTGAATACAGTTTCATGATTTTTGTAACAATGACATTTCTTGAGTGCTGCTTAATTAACTCTTATTTAAAGTTTTCAGCAAGAAAAAGTTTTGTTTTGGGGGAAAAAAAATTGCAACATTTTTAGCTATTGACAGTAATTTCACATCTTCTTAATATTTTATAAAAGTTTCGATTTTTCAGCCTTGCTTCTGATTTCATCACAGCTTCCCGTAAGTCGTATACGAGCATCCATCAAAATGAAAACGATGCAGCAAATTGAAGGTGGATCGCTTTCTGCCAAACCCTATCCCAAGCACTGCACACATGTAGTAAACGTAAAGATTCTCACCCGGTACCCACTGATGGATGTCTTCGTCTTTAAAAGCTCTCCCTTAGGCAGAGTTCAGAAAATGACTAATTTCTCCTTAGTCCCATTTTAGCACTACATTTGAAGCACACCTTCTTAATTTGCCATTCTCAGAAAGTTCCCTGAAGCATTAAATGGGTTGTCGGGCGCTTATGCAGCAAAGCAGCCTGGGAACCAGCGTCCTCGGAGACTGAAGAAAGTTAAGAGCACTTTCCATCCATCTCAGTTCACACACTGTTGGCCTTTACAATTCACATCCAAAACCACTTAACGCTGCCTTTGAAATACCACGAGCTGCAATTTTTTTCCCCCTACCCCCCCATTTAGTGTAAAGATTGTATTTCGCCAATATCAGGTGTCCATTGTGAAGGTTACCAATTTACTGTGGCTGTGAAGAGTTGCAGCTGCACACAGAAAGCCTCAAATATTGTCTTCTATTCAGCCCGTTTAAGGTTCAAGAGATCAAATGCCAAAAAGCAATTTACCGTGGGACCGTTTCCACAGTGTTAACTGTTGTTTTCCTTTTCTGCTCTGCTTCAGGTGTTCCTGCATCGTCTCAATCAGTACGCAGCCACCAAAATCGAAAAGAACGTCACAGAGGAAACGGTGAAGGTGAGAAGCAGTCTTTCGCTCTGACACTGCACTCAGCGGCATTACCCGTGAACAGTTGGGAAGTTTCATTTAACAATTAAGCTTCTTTTGGAGGGGGGTGGGGGTTCTTTCAACCTGAACTTGCATCAAGTTCTGGACTGTAGAAGAAGCAGTGGGCGATCCAGGAAGCAGCTGTAAATATATTCTATTTTTAAATTATCCCAGCTGGAGGATAATAAAGGATGCTCTCTCACAGTGGGAGCGTTTCTTCTCTGAGCTTGCTTACTTTTGAAGGTAAACATGCATTCACTGGATATTTACTGGAAGTCCCGTGTTTTGGAACGTGTCCCCTCATGTTCTGATTTGTTTGGGAACACGCTGACGGGGTTTTTAGATAACGAAAAGGGTCATCGCTGCAAAGGCCGACAGCTGCAATGCCACCGAGCGGCTGAGAGTGCTCCAAAATGAAAACGCAACGATCGGATTTGCCCAGATGTTTTTCCTTTTTTCCTTGGTATCACTAGCTACTAAGTTTATTCTGGCCTTAGAACGCCCATGAAAGACTTCTGGTTTTCATGCTTTGGTTTCATTTCACTCGCTTCACTTATCCAGCACAGTTTTTTTCTTTAATATCGCCACAAAAATGACATAAATAAGGGCAGAAGTCAACACCACATGAAGGCTAAGTTTCCACACAACAGATCTTAACATTGTGTTCCTTTGTTTTTCCTTCTTTTAAAATATCTCTAATTATGTTTGAAATTCAAATATCAAAGAGATCTTAAGCTAAGATACTCATTACAAAGAAACCTCGTTTTTTATTCCGTGGCCATCAAAGCACCACCGACCACAAGAGGAAGCATATGCCAAAGTATTGATTCTCTCTCTGCCTCTCTTTCTCCCTCCCTCTCTCTCTCTTTTAGGTCTTATTCTCTAACATTGAGGAGATTCTGGCTGTTCACAAAGACTTCCTGTCCATGGTGGAGGACCTCCTGCAGCCCGACCCTCACGCTCACCATGAAATCGGTCGCTGCTTCTTGCACTTTGTACGTAACTCGTGCAACTCGTGCTTCTGCAAATTGAATGTCAACTCAACGCATTTTAATTACGATGTTTTGTCCGAGCTCCTAAAGCTCCGTGGCACTGATGCTACCTCCCTTCGTAATATTCCTCAGTTCACTGGAGCGTGTGATCTGAAAAAGGGGGGAAAAAAACCCTCTGTCGAGGCTTCGGTGCACGGTTATGCCGACGTGCTCCACGTGTTGTCAATTTAACTCCCTTGGATTGCTCACGGTGAGAGTGCCCACATGTGCGATATGCCTGATAGAGCTCTGATATACTGCTCTTTCCCACTGTATATCGCGGTTCTTTGATGCGAAGCCTTGAGGCACGCTGGCGTATAACGGTCTTCAAAGTCTAATAAATCTGAGCGTCCTTCTGTTGGGGATAAGGCGAGTTTGTCAGTCGCATCTAGCTGCTGCTCATACAGGTGCAAGAGAGATGACCTGGCAGTATAAGTGGTACATTTAGGTTTATGACATGATGACCTCATTAGCAAGATGGGATATACTGAAAACTTATGACCATAATTCAGTCATGAGCAGTCATGTGTGTCCATAGAGATGAAACAAATTAGACACGCCTAACGTATTATGCAGCGTTTTTCAGAGTTTCCTACTCTGTGTAATTCTTTCATGAAACTTTTATAGCACCAACAAATCACTACAATCTACTCCAGAAATACAAAAAAGCCAGCCAGCTGGGCAGTGCAACTCCCTCTGTGACTCAGGCCTGAACATTAGTTCATGCTGGCTGAAAACTTTCCTTTTGGGAATGCATTGGAATCAGTCAATCCATCGCAAGGCCAGAACATAAACAATTTGGGTGTTCGTAAATAGTCTTCCTCGAAAACACGATTCGAGTCGGGCGATCTGTAAAGTTAATCATAAAGTTCTGTTTTCGTACGCGCTCCCGCTTGTTTTGACAGTTATGTCTCTTCAGATCACCCGCTTCGTCTTCTGCGGCACAGCAGCACGGCTGAAGACTGCGTACTATTTTTGCTGCTTTGTAGTGAGTGATTTAGAGGCTGTGTGGTCTGGGCCCGCTGCGAAAGACAATGAGTATGGATGTCATATGAATGGCTTTGGTGGAAGGTTGTCGGTCATGGCTGCAAGGCAGATGGCAGGATATGATCACTATTATGTATTTGGTGATGAGTGGGACGAATAATTTATATCTTCTCAATTATATATATGTGCTCTCCAGTCAGTTTGCCTATTTCTCTCTCTCATCTTTCTTTATTTTGCAGTCAGATTTCCTGTCTTCTTTACTGCCCTGTCTGGGTTCATTTGTTTTCTGATGCCCTCCTCTCCTTTCCCATTTTTCTGTTTGACTTTGTTGCCCTCTTTCTGTTGCTTTCTGACCATAATTTCTGCTCCTTACATGTCCCCCCCTTTTTTTTTCTCACCTTGACTTTTTCTGGCTCTTGCAGAGGAGCCGTTTTCAGATTTATGACGAATACTGCGGGAACCACGAGAAGGCCCAGAGGCTGCTGCTGGAGCTCAATAAGATCAGAAATGTCAGGACATGTTTACTGGTGAGAAGAGACTCTGAACCTTTGTGTATTTGAAGAAACTGTAAGCAGTCTTAAAAATGTATGTGTTTAGGTTCAGTAACGATTAAATTGTAAGTTCAAGCCTAAATCTGAGAAATCTGTTTTAGTTCTTGGTAAAACAGAAACATGATTTCTGGAACAATTAAAGCGTCTGAGGTGATTTCTAAGGGCCACTACACACTCTCCTAGGCATACAAACACGCAGTCACCCACACATAGCAGCTGGACAGTGTAAAACCCTCTACTCTGTGTCCCAGTTTGTTTGACAGCTGATGTGGCTCTGCCCCTGTGTGTGGGCTGACTCCCACTTCCTGTTCCGACGCTCTTAGAAACTTTCACTTCCACAGGGGAGCATCGTGTTGCGAGAACAAAGTTGACTACGTTCCCACTGCTGGATTGTGTTTAGGGAGGTCAAAAAATGTGCACATTTTTCTTCTCTGTTTATGCACAGGTCCCCAATCATAGTTTTATCCTCTGTTAATAATTTTGGCTCCTTTTTTTGTGTGTGACAGTTATAAGCATCTCATCACACCCTGTGTTTGGAGACGATGAAAAGACGACGCCTTCTTCCAGTAAAGAGTTAAACACTTAGAAAAACTAGAGTATGACGGCAGGTCTGCTTGTATTGATTGGAGACGTCTGTGGGGAAGTGTATGACCTTTTCTCAAAGTGTAATTGATAGGGTGAGAGACAAATGTGCACATGCATGTACTATATACAACTATATGGAAAACTGGTGTCTTTAATCTAAGGAGGCAGTTTAGCCAAAGGTATTAACCGACACTGATCTGCTGTGGTCTTTATAGCCTTAACCCTTTGGTAACCTAGCCTGCCATCAGGGCCGTTTGGGTCTCGTGTTACCCTCCAAGCTCCAGTCCGCCATGAGCTTATATACTTCAGGTCATCTCCCAGACCCTGACCAAGATGGGGATATCCACTCCATATAACCTCCACTATAACCTTTGGCCTGCTGACAGCAATAAAATCTGGTTTAGTGTTTATATTCAGCAGTACCGCTTCTAAATTTCAGGTGAGAGAAAGGTGTGATTGAATATTTCCTCATAATTTGCAACCTACCACATGAATTGTCATGCTGAGGGAGAAAAGTAAAACTTATAGTTTGTGGATAGTGTTGGTAGTGTCGTGATTCCAAAACATGGCTACAAATAACCCAGAAAATACTTCTTACTAAAGTGTAGTTTGAAAGATTACTTCACCTATTAAAATGAAAGAATTGACAGGACTTGAACAAATTGGAATAGGAAAGTTAGCTATGTGTTTCAAATAGCTTTCTAAATTCATGGCTAACTGTTGAAATGTTTTAGCTAAAGTCTAGTCATAGACAAACACAGCTGAAGTACAGCCAGCTAGCTTGAATTTGGAATAAAAAAGTTGTCAGTAATTTTGCTAAAAGTATAGCTGTAAGTTAAATGTTAGCTAACTCTGAGGGTTAACAGTTGAAATAGCAAGATAAACATCATGGCTAAACATCGAAATGGTTAGCTAATGGCACAAATACATTTGTAACGGTTACATCACTTAAAAGAAATAATCAGCTGTTAAATAGTTCTGTATCATTTTGTTAATTTATTGAAGATGAAAATATTTTCACAGCTTTTTGCTAATTTATGCTAACACATAAAGTTTTGTGTATGCATTCGATGTATTTTGATACCTGCTAACTGTTCGGCGCTTTTATTTTAAAACTGGAGACTTTTGAGGTTGTAGCGTCCAGACTTTGGAACAGCCTGCTTGAACAGAATGCTGAAAACTCATTTTATAGGTTAGCTTCTTCATAATCTTTCTCAAATACTTTGTTGCATTTGTTGTATGTTGCAATGAATGTAACACTATATATATGAATCTGTATGCTGGAACATTCATACCTTTAACTAGCTTTAAAGCACTTCGTAACTGGTAATGTTTTTTTTTTTTTTTTTATTATTAGTACGAATTCTCTGACAATGTTTCATATTTCATTTAACTCTCCTCTGTTATCCTCTCCTCTCAATCCTACCAGAACTACATGTTGCTGGGAGGCAGGAAAAACACAGAGGTCCCACTGGAGGGATATCTGGTAGCTCCCATTCAGAGGATTTGCAAGTACCCGTTGCTGCTCAGAGTGAGTATAGTCTTGTGCATGCTAACCATGTGTTAAAGCGATACCACACCCATGCGCCACCTCTGTAGAGCAACTTCTTCCCCTCTTTTCGTCCAACCACACCTAGTCATTAGTTAGGGCTGTCCCATCCTATTCACATCAACCTCTGCCTTGCTAATGAAACACTGGCCTCATATTCTGACACGTCTCTGCTTTAGTTCCCTGGCACAGCCACATTGGAGGAATAACACGAGGCCTATCATCACCTCCGCGGCCCAGCTGCGCTTTCAGACACTTTGACTGGGCTCATTCACACTGGCACTCTAGGTTGTTAGTTTTGAAGTTTCCATTTTTGAATGTGAAACGTGAGTGAAATGAAATACATTTTCAAAGGCTTGTTTGAGTTGGTGATCTGAGCTGTCCCTATTCATTTGTCTTGTTATGATCTATTAATTCTCCCAGGCGCTTTCTAAACAGCCACCAACATATGCGCAGAGATGTTATGATAATAAGGGGGTAATCCGATGCGCTGCGTTTTTGAAGTCTTTCAGCTGCCAGGGCCGTAAAGTAACACCAATACATCCAGAAGAGTGTAAATTGTGCACTAATAGTAGCTGACATGCTAAAACACAGTGTTTAGACTACAGATTATGAGATTGGCATTTCAGCAGAAGGGTTTAAACCACTAAACTCAAAAACCACGAGAGAGTGAAAAGTGAAGTGCTTTTCATGATGGAGCAATATTTGCCGGCTATTCTTCCAACTGCGTCGCTTTAATTATACTTTTCTGTGAAATTATGTGACATTTTGTGTGATCTGTACATGCGTAGGAGCTGCTTAAGAGGACCCCGAAGAAGCACAACGACTATGCTCTGGTACAGGAGTCTCTGCAGGTGATGAAAGAGGTGTGCTCCAGCATCAATGAGGCCAAGAGACAGATGGAAAAATTGGAGATTTTGGAGGAATGGCAGTCGCATATCGAGGGCTGGGAGGTGAGCCTCAGTAAAGCATGTTTAATGATTTATTTCATTAACTTTAACTTAACGTCTTGCTGTATTTCAGAGTTTTGGGGATTTGTTTTGTTTTTGTCCTAAGCTGAGCTTTCACTACTTAAGCTGAAAGTCATGACTTATTTAAAGTTACTCAGCCCTGTGCCAGCAAGAATTCCACATGGCCTGACTTGTGTAGCCTTTTAAGCTTTCGCATACTCGCCGGGAACAATGACTTGTATTCACAATAGCCATACTTCTTTTGCATGGTTGAGTTAAAGCCGTCACGCTTTGGGGTGAGCAGTCAGATCACCATCGGGTAGATTGCACTTCTTTGTATGTAGGGTTATTTTTCCCCCCCGTAGGTAGGCTTAATAAGGGGTCGTAGCAGTTGGAAAAAGTGTAAAAAGTGATGGTAATTGTACAGAAAGAGGGCAGAATACTTATGTAATTGACCTGGCTTCATGTGAAAGGGCCTTAGGGCTTCGAGCACACATGCACACAGAGACATGCTGCAGTGTTGATAGAGCCTTTTCAGGCAGCAACAGATATTTGTTTCTAAATAGAAAACAGGCTTTTTGACTAAAATGTTTAGAGTTTCTTGCATTTGACTGACTTGTTCTACTTTTTCTATGGTCACCCACAACTTTAAAGAGTTGCTGTATTATTGGATGCCTTTTAGTGCGAGTGTTTTGCTTTACAGTAAAATATATGGCAGGAACTTCAATAGTGGATCCATTAATACAGTTTAAATCCAACCCAAAACCTCAATGTAAGGCCATTATACAGGTTTTAGCGACACACAAACACACACAAATCTAAGAATAGCGTAATCAGAGTCAGGCTTAGTTTTTGGGTGGGGTGACATCTTGTGTTCAACATAATCCTGGCTGTAGCTACTTTGCAGTTTCCCCTCAGTACTTTTTATTAATTGTAAACATTAGCTCATTCTGGAGCTGGTCCTGCGACTGCTGCACGCCAGGCTCTCCGGCTCTAAATGAGATGGAACTAAGAGGGAGAGAAGAGAGGTGGAGGGAGAAAGAACTGAGTGATGGTTGTATCTTGTTTTTCTGTGTGGGTGTTTTTGAGGTATTTCAGTGGGATGAGGAGTGATTGTGAGAGCCGCTGTTTTTTTTCCATTTCTGCTCCTCCTCCTGGGATGATTGCTTGTTAGCGCTGACCCGCTTCACTGCTGGCTACCCTCGGGGCATCCTGGCAGGTTCACCTCCCGTGTGAGAAGCAGGGCTGTGGCCCAAAGTGGTCGCCATGATTGTGTGCTGCCAGCATTCGTCAGGGTAGTGATTGCCAGTTGGTTAGTGTTGCATGTGTCTGTGTTTTGTCACTGTGCACTATAAAAATATGTTAATTTTAGACTAGAGGGTTGTAGTTTCAAGTTTCATTTCACATTCTGTTCTCTAGTTTAATTAGCATGCTTAAAATGTACTTGAGTTGTAGAGTTTGCTTGATTTGGCTTCCTTAGCTTAAAAAATTCTCTCATCTCTCGAGGTAATTGGCAAATACCACTTCAGAGCTTAATGCTTTATTTTTTTTCCCTCTTAATTAATGGCATATCCTGCTTTGCAGTTGTTATGAGTCATTGTCTTACTATGAAAGTAGATGCTTGAATTCTGGATGAAACGGATGATTGAGGGTTTGAAGTGTGAAGCTTTTTCTATGGAGCACGGTTAATATAAAGAACAAGTGAAAAATGCTGCAAAAGAAGTGCAAATTTAAGTGAATAGGATGGAGGCTCTGCTAAAAGCATGTCTAACACAAAGAGGAAGTGTCAGTTCTTCCATTAAGGACACGCTGCTTTACAATCTGGACCGGTGTGATGTTGCCATTGGCCCCTTCAAGTGACCGAGACCTCTTTCTGTGTCTGGTGCGCACACATTGAAAAGCTGCAAATTAGTTTAACATCTGGTCATGGGCCCTTGAAAGAGTGGGAGAGTTAAAAAGAAAAGTGTGGAGGAAGGAATAAAAGATAGCGAAGAACAGAGCAGGGGAAGAAAAGTGAAAAATGATCAGCAGAAGGGAAGGGAGGAAAAGAAGGGGGGGGGGGAAAAACGTGGGATAGGTTTTGGCCCGCCCGTGTCTCCGTTGGGAGCACATTTTCCGCCTCTGTGCGCATGGGGGTTATTTTTAGCTCTGGAGGGCTGATCAAACGTGGTACATAAATTCCCAGAGCAGGCAAGGTAAGGGGAAAAGACAGCACACTTTATCACTTGCAGCAGGAACCCCAACCAATCTGGTGACCAGACGCGACAGTGCAGCACATGGTTGGACTGGACGGGATGTTGTTCTGTAGAGGCTATTAACGGCCGCGCGTTTTTAAAATCCCACAGCAATCTGCTGTGAGGAAGCGGGGGTGTTTTTACAGACCCCTGAGAGTGGGAAGAGGAAAAAGTTGGGCTCTGTAGTCCCTCCTCCTGTTCAGACAATATATGTGAATGATAAATGCCACAGTTTATATACTTTACTATAGTTTAAAATTAAAACTTGAACTTTGTGCACAAATTCCCACGTCTCTCATGCATGTTAATGACAACTCACCTGTTTTTTTGGGGGGGGGGGGGTTTCCTGCACCATTGTCCATTTCCAGGGTTCAAATATCACAGACACATGCACGGAGATGCTAATGCAGGGTGTCCTGCTGAAGATTTCAGCTGGGAACATACAAGAGAGGATTTTTTTCTTGTTCGACAAGCTTCTGGTCTACTGCAAGAAGAAAAATAGGTGACTTTTTATTCATTACTCTTCTCCAGAGAGAATGAAAATATTATATTTGTGCTAATTCCTGTGTGTCTGTCCTCCTACAGAACATTTAAAGTACAGACTTTATAAATAATTCACTGCACTGTTCCTTTCCTCTTACTATGGGAAGTATTTTAGGTTCTGTTTTGTGAGGGAGTTGGAAAAACGTTTAAGGAGGCAGAGATGGAAGACGCATATTAGAAAAGGATTTAGATGAAATTTTGGGTGATTAATCAAGGTAGGGATATGAACCACCACGTTTGGGTAGTATTTTCCTTTTAGATTGATCTTTCAGATAATCTTCGGATGCAAATAATACGACATTTATTCCGATCAGGCAAAACTGAATCGTGAAACTCGTCTAATTAATCTGTGTTTGGCAGCAGGAAACCGGATGAAGAAGCTGAGTATACAGTATCAAGTATTAAATGTAAAGTATTTTGCTACTGATTACCTTTGATGTCAAAATAGGCTGGTAAGTGTGACTGTCTATTAAATATGATTTAAATGTTTAAGGATTAATCATCATCTTGTTTCTCTCCGTCAAAGGCGTTTAAAAAACAGTAAGACGTCCACCGAGGGCCCTCGCTACCTGTTCAGGGGAAGAATCAGCACTGAGGTGATGGAGGTGGAAAATGTGGATGATGGCACAGGTGAGCAGTGCTCTAAAAGAAGATACCCTGGTTATTTTGGACAGCTGCTGTTTGAGTTTATTATTTTTTGTCATTGCCTGTGCTAACTTGCCAGGACCACTTACAGCAGTTCTGGCAGCAGGAATTTAAATACATGCCATAATAAGCCACACGGAGAAGTAGACAACATAGTCCTTGGCGTGAGCTGGTGCACAACTGTGTGATTTTTACACTTGGATCGCCAATGGAAAAATGAGACTTACCTATAAACATTTTTTAGACGTCTATAGTTACATATCCTTGGGGCTGTGCTGCTGCTGGTCCTCGGTGAACTTGAGCGCTTGTGTCTTTTGGCCTCACATAGCCACTGATTAGCATTTATATTTGTAGAAGCCATCATTTCCTTTCCAACGGTCCTAGATGGGCAGTAATATTGGGTGTTTTTGGTGAGGGATGGATGGGCTTGGGTCTGGATAAACAGGCGAGGCAGGCGGCAGAGCAGTAACTTGTGGGTGTTCTTCACCACAGGCGGGAGATCTCAATCTTAAAGCCAGGGTGACTGGATTATTTTAGCTTGGATTCCTATGTTAACAAAGTGCCACGACTTTTTCCCAGGCGCACACTTGCTGCCTGAGGTTGAAACACGTCCTCGGGGCATTCCATATAAAGGACACCACCACCACACCGTCTGTGTTTTTAGACGTGATTGTAATTGATGATTGTAATGGGTCGCTTTTTGTGATAAGCTTAGAAAGAAAAATCAAAGGAATGTTGGGAAGAGACTGGAAGGGGTTCCTAAAAGATGAAAATGATGATGGGTCAAGAGTTCACTTCCTTTATCTGGAGGCTTCTTAACATGTATATACTACAGGCATAGTTAATCACAAGTACGCACCAGCTCTGAAGGAGTATTCTGAGGACTCAGTAGTAAATAATGCTGATTGATGGTCCTCCTTCTGCATTTGTTCCCTCTCGTTTATCTCATTAAAGGAGAAGAGCGATAATCAATGAACCACTCGATAGAAAGTCTGATAGTAGAGCAGGGAAAAATGAGTCCGAGTCCAGCATTTGCAGTAAGACAGAGTATGATATTCTCTGGATGTTGTTTTTTGTTTTGTTTTAGTTATTTATTTATTAAAAATAGACCACACGCTGCTATAAAGGAAAGCAATAACTCATCAAGAGGCAATGTTTTTTTTGTTTTTTTTTAATTTATAGATTGTTTTTTTCTTCACTCCTTTATAGTAGCGCTGATGTCACTATGTCATTCGGCTTTGCTTTTCTCTGCAGCGACTCACTTTGTGCCCCATGTTATTGCTGTGTTTCATGCGGTAACCCTTATTTACTGTGAACCCAACTTCTCAATAACTCTGTTTACAGTGTCACGATCAGTGTACCCACAGACTCATGGCCTTCCCCTTTCAAATATGAAAAAGTTCTGGGATTAAATAAGTCCTCCCCTTGCAAAGAGCTAACTAGAAGGAGCTGAGATTGTTTCTGCCTGTGTTTTCTCCTCCTCAGCTGACTACCACAGCAGCGGGAACATAGTGAACAACGGCTGGAAGATCCACAACACGGCCAAGAACAAGTGGTTCGTCTGCATGGCCAAGACCCCGGAGGAGAAGCAGGAGTGGCTGGAGGCCATCATGAAAGAGAGGGAACGCAGGAAAAGTAAGCAACTGTTTGTCAGTGTCAGGGCTTTTATTACACTCAGGGAAAGCTGGTCAATGTTTTCTCCTTAGCATCTGTCTTGATTTAAATAACTGAAAATATAGGCTGCGTTTTGGGAAAATCGATACAAAGCAATATAACTTGAATGATTAAAAACGCAAATAGATCCCAGCTGCGAACAGCATGTGGGATCTGCATCTAGGACTGAAGGGGTTTCTTGTGTAACTGTGTTATTTCCCTCAAGCAGATCACATAATGAAGGCTATTGCAACTGCTGATTATCTTGTCAAATTAGGAGACATTAACCTTCTCCGTCTAGTGATTGATGCTTTTAGTATCGGAGCTAGGTGCAAAGATTATTAATGCGGTGATACTGACGGGCTCTTTGCACCCTCTCCTGTGTAGGTCTGAGGCTCGGCATGGAGCAGGATACGTGGGTGATGGTGTCAGAGAAGGGAGAGAAGCTCTATCACCTCATGACCAAGGGTAACCTCATAAAGGACCGGAAACGCAAGCTCACCACCTTCCCCAAGTGTTTCCTGGGAAGGTAAGGATCCTTCTGCTGGTCTTGATGTTTATTTCATCGAATGTTCAGCCCTATGGGTTTTCTCTGTGTCATGTAAGCATTTTACCTGTGAGTAGGTCAGACTGCATGACTGTGCCAGGAGCCTTTCAAAGATTAAATCTGTATTCTGTGTGTCTCTAAAGATTTATAGGACCTTGTTCTTGATGTTAAAAGAAGTGGTATTAGTAATTTAACGTAATAATAAAGTTCAATTGGCCAGGATTTGTAAAGACAGCTGCTGGAAAGAAGAAAGCAATGGCACTTTCTGCTCAAGAGACTCTGTGTTGTGGAGCCGCCATCTCAGTCACGGGAAAATGAAATCCAGCGAGATTTAGCCCATGAATCTTATTTAAGGATTATTGGTGTGGTGTCTGGGGATGGATCGGCCACTGAATGCCAGTCATAAATCACAGGCTAGATATCCCTGCGCGGCTCAGCTGACTGCCCCTTTTGCTCCCTCGCCCATGTTAGATTATAGTAAGCTGTCTGCAGAGAAATCCATGAGGTAATTGTTGTAGAAGGTTCATTATGCCAGAGGGCAGCTCTGTCTGTGTGTGCGTGTGTTACCATCAGAGTGTGTCACACTCATCGTTGTCCTTGAATTTTCACAGTTAATTTGGGCGCGCTTTCCATATTTACTTTTGAGTCTGAATATGACTATCTCTCCTCCACTCGCTGACAGGTGAAAAATATTTACCGTGAGTGGAGCTTTGCTGAAAATCTCGTCCTTGGGTTATTTTAGGTAAGCAGAAGTTGATGCCACCATTTGGGTATTTTGCTTTCATAACGTGAAATGCAGACGAATTGGTTTCACGTCAGTGTTGTAGGTTTCTGCGCACTTGTGTGCTTTAATGAGATAAAAGACTTGAATGCCTGACAAGGACAAACTTTTTTTTTTTTTTGTAGTTCTACTTCAAATGAGATCAAATATGTGGGCACAGACACTTTTATCGGGAATCTGGGAACTGCAAAACTCTTTCGCTCGGTCCATTCGACATGTTCAGCATCCTCTCTTGTTATATAGCATCTATCCCATATTGTACCCCAATGTGGGAAGAGGACAAAGTGTGACTGAGAAGGTGGCGAACATGGATAAAGATAATAAAAACAAGAAGCTTCTGATGATGACGTGTGGCAGCCAAAAATATGTTTACAGAGGGACGCCTGTAATTTTAAAGGCTCAGCTAAATCATTGAATGCTTCCAAAAGACGGCCTGGGTTGGATTCTGTTCAAGTTCTGATCCTCTCTAACAAATTTGCCTTGTAAACACTCCAGTACAATTCAGAATGAGCCATGTTTTCCATTTGTTATAAAATTGTACTTTCAGTTTGTTTTTCTTGAGTTGTTACAGTCACGTTGAAAATCTCCCGAGCTTATACAGTCATGTCAAAATCCCTGTTATTTTTAAAAGCATAAAGAGAGAGGAGGGGAGCAAAAACCAACCAAAAAGTCCAATTGGACATAGTTGTGGCCAAGTTACATGGCATGGTGGTTTGAAATGAAGGGTTACTTTCTCCTTTGGTCCACACAGACAACACCAGATCCCTTGCGGTCCGGAGAAGGAATGGATCTGTCAGCTGAAAAGATTAGCAGGATCAAACACTAGTCCGATGCGGTCATCTTGTTGAGAAAGAAGCTCAGGGAAGCTTTCTTTGAAAACCTATCCCCTTACACCTGGATGACCACTTGTGGGTAAAAGGACATCTCTGGCCCCTCGGTACTTCTCCTGTCTGCGCTGATTTCGGAGATGATTACATGTAGGCGTAATTGGCTTATGGAAACCAGCATTGTATGTCTCTGATGAAAACCACATTGCCTATGGCTTCAAGTCAGCCCACTCCCTCCATTGTGAAATGCTTTGCCATTATCCCCTTTCCACGCCTCTCCCTTTTTCTTTCTGACTTTTTCTTTTTAAAACAGAGGGCTATTTCTGTGTCTCAGAAAAATGTTATGATCTTATTTGAGGTTAGTTTTCTGCGAGAGGGTAATTCATCAAAGAAAATGTGTGTGAGAGCCACCTAGTCTGACATTATCATCCAATTTTAAACCTGAAACAAACAGAAAAACCATTTTCTACATATGATGGACTCTAGCAGTATATTGTCGTGACAGATGCTGGTGAGTATCTATGACAGTTATGGTAAATGGACTGGTTCTTGTATAGAGCTTTGCTACTCTGCTTGAGCACTCAAACCGCTTTATACTACAAGCCTCATTCACCCACATATTCATACAGTCATAAATGCTTACACTTGGATGAACGCATCGGGAGCAACCCCTTATGCACCATGATCATGGACATGGGAAATGATATTGGAAAATGGAGAAACATGCGTAATTGCTTTCTTGCTGAGAGTTCTGTAAGAAGCCTTTTTATCTCTTGCAATGCTCTTCCTGTTCTGTAAATATGAAGTTATGCCAGCGGGTAGTTTGTTCAGCTCACCATAAAGACCACATGGGGGGAAACAGCTTGGCCGTCTCTGCCCGAAGGCACTAAAATGTATTTAAATGAAGCACCTTTAAAGCGCACTAATTAACACATTCTGTCTCGTTTGTTTAGTCTATACCTAAGCATGTGTATATGAAGCTTCAGTTAGAGGCAACCACATCTTCTGACTGCCAAGCCAAGTACTACTCATATTAAACAAGCATAAAGACCTCCAGAAGTTCTACATAGAGTGTCTCTCCCTGCCCCCAATAATATTTTTTGATGTGACTTCTGCTGGAAATAAAAGGATTATCCTAATTTCCTAAAAAGTTGACCTTTAAGCTTCGAATCTGTTTTAACCTTGTAAAATATTTGATTCAGTGGGAGATTTAAAAAAAAAAAAATCCATGACAACATATAAGTAACCACAAAAATTCAAGTTTGGCTAGGAAATGTTACAAAAAAATGAATTCACCCAGTTTAACACACACACACACACACACACACACACACACACACACACACA